TTCTCTGCCTAAGTTGCTCCTTAATATTTAGGATCATTTCTCGGCCTTTTTTTTTTTTTTTCTTTTAATGACTTACATGGTCCCTGTCTTTCCTTCGCACATCCTGCCAGCAAAGATGTTGTCAAGCTCTGACGTCTCTCATTCCTATCAGGAGCACAGCAGTCTGGGGAGGGTCTTTCTTCCCTTCGCTGTGGAGTCTACCCTGGGAATCCCAGCAGGAGTCTCCGTGCTTTCTGCCCCAGCCCTGAGTGAAGATGCCCACTGAGGATCACGGTGGGTGTTACTCAAGGCCCACGGCGCCCAGCCAGGCCTCCAGGAGCTTGGACCATCTCCTCATGGATTCTGTTTCCATCAGGAATGCCTTCTCCTAAAAATATGAAACAAGACCAAAAAGTAGGCCTTACCAGGGGGTGCTAGTGACGCCTGATATTTACTTTCAGAAATGGTACAATGACGGCACCCCTTCATTGACATCATCAGTCCACACCAGGAAGACTGGGGTACGCTTATGGCCTTGATGTCTCCAAGACCAAATCCTACATCCAGGCTGGAGGGGCCATTTCTCCTTCAAAACCTGTCCTCCTTATGCAGTCCCAGGACGTGATTCAATTCTGCAACTTGTATTTAGGTCTGGGGTGGGTGCTGAAAACTCTTGAAGAGGAACAAATCCAGGTTCCATTGATTTCTTCACAGAAATCATTCTACGCTGGAGCTTGGGCCTGGCAACCTCATCAGTATGAACACTTGAGTTCGGTGGAAAGGAGCGGCCCCCTGAGCTTGGGGACGTCTGGTGTGTTGGATTGGTCCAGGGGGCCAAAGCCCAGGCCACTCCTGGACACTGGAAGGTGAATGGGATGGCTCCCTCTGACTCACCCCACAGGGCCTGCTGCAGAGTGAGCTCCAAAGCCGGTCTCGGCCAGCCTTGTCTGCCAAACGTCCAGCCTCAGAGGTGCCCTGGCAGCTTCAGTCACCTGCATTCCCAGGCCGCACAGCCTGGGGAGAAAACAGCCCCAGGGCGGTCTCAAGCCCCTTCCCTAATTCCTCTCCCCCTGGAGCCAGGACCCCTGTGCCGCTTGCCGGCTCTCCCCACCCTTTTCAGCTGCTGTGGACGAGGCCTCCCGATGCTCTGGGGCTCTGCTCCACTCCATGCCTCACGGGGACACCTCTGATATGGACCTATCCCACCCACACCAGAGTGACCAAGCTCAGGTCTGAAACGCAACAGGGTGACACACTCCTGGTGAACCCAAGTCCTCCTCCTCCACCGCTCAGCACCATCCTATAGATTTACTTATGGGTGGGATGAGGGGTGGGGGGAAGCTCAGAGGTGGACTCACACAGGTGGGCAGCAGGGCCGCCCTGTTTGGGGAAAGCAGAAGCTTATGGTGGTCCCACCCTTGGGGCAGTCTGACTCAGAGCATCCTCCCCCCACCCCAAAGTGAAGTGTCCATGGTGCACACAACCGTCTGCACCCCTTTCAACCCAGCAGGGCCACAGGTTGTCATCTTGGCCCCCAGCAATGGTGGCTGGGTGAAGGCCCTGCTGCCCGACCAAGGCCCAGAAACACTCTGGCCACGTGTGGCCTACTTCCTCGCGGGGCACACCCTTGGTGAGTGTCCACCATCTGCAAAGCCACTCGCTGACACACCGAAGTTCTTGCGTCGATGGAAGAACATGGTCAAGTTCTAGGCCACCTGCCACCTGCCTTCCTCTGTCATGGCGCCACCTCCGTCCCAGGGGCTGCTCGGCTTCGAGGTTGCTGTCCTTCTGGCCATGCCAATGAAAACTCAACAGGGCCACGCAAACAAGTCTTGTTCCTCTCAGTCCAGTCACCCCTTTAGGGTCTTTACATAGTGTAGGACAGTGTCACCCAGACTCCCTCCTCCGAGACTTCACCCTGCTCGCCGTGCTACCGATCGAATGAGGGGGGAACGTGGAGGTCTGTCCACACAGCTCCCTAGCCAGTCTTCTCTCCAGTCTTTGTCGTTGTTGTTGTTTTGTTTTTAAGGAAAAAGAAAAGATCTCTTTTTAGTGTATTAAAACATTATCGTTAAATACGATGTTTAGGATAAAGTGAGCACACAAAACTAACCAGAGACAAACTTATTCGCCAAAGCTTGTATGTCAGGAATGACAGGACTGGCATTTGCCCATGCAGTGCTCCTCCTGGTGTCTTCCAGAATTGTACACACCAGCTGCAAGTTCAAGCCTTATTTTCTAAGTCAAAAAAGTGAAAACTTGCAACGGCAGCGCCAAGGTTGTGCCTGACTCGTTTAGAATCAGTGGCAGTGCTCCCCGAGCTCATTCGCCCAGCTCCACTCCAGCCTCTGGCTGGGAGCGAAGGGGTTGTGGGTGCCTCCTGCTCTCTGGGCTCCTTTGATCTCTGCTCAGATCTCCTGTTAACTGTATTAAACAATCCACCCCATTCGTTGGCTGGCCTTTGCTCATCAGGGCAGTTTCTTTCAGCTTTATTTGTTGTTGTTGTTGTTTGTTGCAGAGTGCACAAGGGGATGCATTTGGCCCTGCTGATGAATCCTCAGACCGAGATGAAATGTCACTTTTCCCTTGGTTTTGAAGAGTTGTACCACAGAGATTTCCTGAATTTAGGAGCGGTTGATTTTCCTCCTCTCTCACGCCTTATGCATGCGAAGTCAGGTTTCCTCGCTAGGATTCTTGTTTAAAACAAAAAGATCAAAGATTACCTCTGGAGATATATGCATTTCATTCTGTAAGGACTGACGGGGTCAAGGCGAAAGACGTTAGCGCGTGTGACAATCCCTGCCTGTCCTGTCCTGCTTCTCCCCGGAATGGGGGGAACCGCCTTTTCTCTCTCTTCCCTGCGAGGCTGTTATTTCTCAGTGGAGGCTGGAAGGTGGTGCTGTTTAGCATGTAAATAAACCAACACTTTTTCCAGTAAATAGCTCTGTCTGGCATTATATGCCAGGAGCTCTCATCTGCACACTGATGAATTCAGTTCCTCCACTGTGCCTTCCCGTCCTTTGACAGAGGGAAAGGTGATCACAGGCAATTATTTAAGTCCTTTTTACTTTATTCTTTCCTGATTGTGCCTCTAATTTTTCTGGATTCCTCATAGATAGCATTTCCATTGCGAAGATAAAATTCCTAAGTCAGCCATTGTGAATTCATTTACTTCCCCGTGTCCAGTGTTTTATAGATGATGTCAATGAAGGATGTGGCTTGCAGATGTACTGAGAGCGACGTGCTTATACTTCACTGTTCTGGCCAGATGAGTGGGCACATGCTTTTGCATTTTTATTTGAACCCCACTGAAGTTGGTCATTGTATTTTGAATGCCACAGCACGTCCTTACCATTATTTAAAGGATCTTGTTCATTCACCCGTGTAATGATTGGCATGGGCTATAACTTGATGCAATGTTACACTATTTTAATTCTTTCTCAAGCAATGTTATCTTTGATCACTTCCTATTCACTGGGAAAAAACGCCACACAATTGCAATCCCACATTATGTTTCAGTGATGATGCCAAGCTCTCTCTGGAATATAGCTATTCAAGACCATTTGTCCACCCTCAGGCTGCTCATTAAAGGGATGGCAGTTTCTAACTTTAATGAATAAGGTAGAGTGAAAATTCCACTCTTCTTTCAAAGAGACTCTGAGGTTTTCTTTTCTTTTCTTTTTAAGTGTTTTCTACTGCCTATTTCTTTGTTTAATTGGAAATGGTGTACACTCCTACATAACCATGGCCATAGCTCTGTATGCAAAGTATTTCCTTGCCATGTTTTCTTTTTCATGAGTCAGTGTATATTTTATCAAAGAATTCTGGAGGAAGCTTTGTATCGTCCCTCAAAAAAAAAAAAAAAAAAAAAGAAAAGAAAAGAAATACCATTGGTTATGCATAGTGCATCCAGGTTATCGCCTTGTCCATGGTTGGAACGACTCCCATATTCTTTGTTTTTCTCTCCCTTCTTACAAACACTGATTCAATATGTTCTTTTAACTCAGGGATATTTGTGGCAGTTCCAAAACCTCATTGAGAAGTTTCGCAAAAAAGAGCCAAATGAGAAAGAATGACAGAGACCAGTGTTTAGGAAAAGCTGCCTCCTTTTCAAAATCCAGCAGCCTAACACCCAGCCAAATTTGAGTTAGCTCCTGTGTTGAAAGGCGTAAATCGTCTTTTCTTTTTAAATGCTTCAAATGAAGTTTAAACTTTTCTATTTATCACCCAGTGAATCATAACCAGAAAGCAATTTTAAGATTTTTAAGCCAAGGTCCAGGAGACTTAGTAACACCCGAGAGTTATTGCTTCGTGTGGGAGTGGACATCTCTGAGATCTTTCCCTGATTCCCAGGTGGGGCCAGTACCTAAGCTCCTGAGCACCAGCAGATTCCCAGTTTCAGAGCAGCCAGAAGACAGACAGGGCCCGAAGGATACCCAGATGTGTGCACAAGCCCTGAAGGGATCAGAGGTGCTAATACATCCATAGGGATCCTGCTCTGGGCAGCATTTATTTAGTCCCTGTTCAGCGTGAGACAGTGCTCAAGCAGCCTGGAGGATCCAAGATCAGTACCCCAGGTGATCTTTACTTCTGTGGAGCTTTTAAAACTTTTACTGGGGAGATGATTTATTAGAAATGAAGACAGAACAACAAAATAGTTAAAACTAAATGCTCACAGGCTCTGTTAGCACAGGACTTTCTTATACTAGAAAATTATTCATTGATATTTGAAATGCAAATTCCACTTGGCACCCTGCATTTATCTGGCAACCCCAGCCCTGGGGTGGTGCTTTGTCTTCAGGAGCTGAGAGCTGTGGCCCCACTCGGCATCGGGCATCGGTGAGCTAGCACATTCCACAAGTCGCAGAGCACCGACTTACACATGCGCCATTCATGAAGTATTCCACGCACACATTTAAATATCACCTCCAGCCAACCCGGTGAGATAGGCAGCCTTTATCCCACTTCTAGATGAAGGAAACGAGGCTCCAAAACATTATCTGATTCTCCATCTTACTCACCAGGGGCACGCCCGACCCACGTCCAGTGCCCTTTCACTGGACCCTGCTTGCCCATCCTGTTCCGCGGCTGGAGGGCTTTCTTCCCTCCACAAAGCCCTGTTCATTTGGTTTTTCTGCCAAGTTTCCTACTGGAGTGGCAACTTCCTGTCCAAAGCTATTTATTCACCACTCATTGTCCCCGGCTAATGCCACCATCAGCCTGCTAGGATAGGGATGGACAAGGACAAGCTTGCAATGGTCCTCCCCCTCCCCCGCCCCGCCCCAGGGTGCTTTTCTCCTAATCCTGTGTTTGAAAGTTCCCTTTGAAAGACACTTGAGCCCCAAACTGAGGTTCCTACGACACTGAACTCATTCAGTGTCTTATCAGTCAGGCTGGTGGCCTGCCCATCTAGAAATGTCCCTTTTGCTAATACTGCAGAATACGGAAGTGAGAAAAGAACCTTAACAATTTCAAAGTCATTTCTGAATTCTAATTGTTGTTTTTCTTGATGATCGATTGCAAGCAGAAAAAAACATTCCAATGTAATCTAAGGTAGAGAACAGAATAGAGATGTCTCCCGTAATTCCACTTTTCCACCTTTCAGAAATCATCCTTGCAGCAGATTGGTATGCAGTCAAGATACTTTTTTCTGCTTTCATACAAAATATGCATGTTCTAATTATTAGACAAAAATGTGACCACTTGGCTGTGTAACTTTTGTTCACTTAAATAATTATCTTAAGCACTTCCACATCAGCACCTACAGATTTACCTTTTTATTTTTTATGCCTGCAGAATACCCCCTTCTATGGGTAGACCACAGTTTATTGAATCAATACTCTATTTATGTACGTTTGGATTTTTACAGGTTTTTCTTATGTCAGCCAATGCTGCAGTTTTTGTACTTCTAGAGAGTGGGTTCCTAGAAGTGAATGTTGAGGCCAGAGTGTGCCCATTTTATATTAAGAAGAACCTTGAAATGGCATGCCGGAAGGAGTTAGCCATTTCCCCCTCACCACTTCCCTTTTAAGTTGGTCTTTGGAATTTTCACCTTTTCTTATTACTTGCAAAGGATATGAATTTCAATCCTTTTCATAGAGCAAAGGTCCCTGTCCCCACCCCCAATCTATCTTTTAACTCCGATTATGTGCAAAATGTTCAGTTTTCAGGGGGTTCATCATCCAGTTCTGCACTTCTGGTTTTCTCAACTTCCTAGACGAGCCTTCCCCACGCCCAGAGTGTATGTCACTCATGTCTTCTTCTAGTGCTTTCATGGTCTTAGACTTTTACATTTAAGTCCTTGAAGCGTCTACCACCTATTTCAGTGTAAATAGTGCAATAGAGATCTAACTTTATGTTTTCCGAATGGCTAGCCCTCTGACTCATTCATCATTTCCCCATTGATTTGAAATGCCACTTTTATCAGGCGTTAAATTTCTGTATATACTGGAGTCTATTTCTGGTCAGTGTGTTCTGATCTATCGACATTTCTCCCTCGCCCCGAGTCGGTATGACACTTTAAAACGCCGAGATCCCAATATGTTTGAAGATGAGCTGGGGCGAGCCCTCACTCCTAAGCTCTGGATTCTCCACTTGCGCATGCTGTTTTCACAGCTGAGTGTTCGACCCACCTTACGTCACATCAAACATGTTTTCACTGGAATCTTGATTGGACTGTATTGAACACATATGTCCTGTTTTCTCTATTAAAAAACTAAGTAACAGAAGATAATTGAATAAGAAGCACAAGTTGCCTTTACTACCAACCATGGTCCCATTCCATTCTCTTCGCCCCTGTCAGCAGCTCGGGGTGCACTCTTCCAGTCTCAGTTTAGATACATTAATAGACTTAAAAATATAAGCATGTGCAGATAAGCAATGTAAATGGGCTATCCCAGGGCTGGGCTGACCATCAGCCAGAACATACCAGGGAAGCTGTTAAATTCTGAACTAGTTCCATACTAGCTGGTAAACAGCTGCTACCTGTGACCTTCCTGCTCACCCTGCCAGAGCTACCCCAGCACCCCCATAACATTGTTACTTTAGATTTCTTGTGAATGTCCACAAAAGGCATTGGGTTATATTTGTGATAGTGTTTGTTGTTTGTTGTTTTTGTTTTTGTTTTTAGTCTCTAGAAAAATCTAGTGTCACAAGTGTTGTGAGTACTTTGGGCCAAACCTGTTTATTAAGCCACATGGCCCAGTGCCTCTTGGGGAGGGAAGGCCAAAGGCCTCTGGTTTTGACTACCTGTTCTACCTGTTCTAGGCATCAGGCACACTGACAGACAGGCTTTTTACTGGCTTTTATTCCCTCTGTGGAGAAAACTGGTCATTTTTATTTTCCTACGATGTGACTCACTGTGTTCGCAGTATGGTCTGAGGATTCAGGCTACAGCGTCTGTCTCCTACCACCACCACTGTACTATTTTTTTTAGCAGACTTCATTTTTTAATTTTAGTTTTAGATGTATGGAAAACTGGGTTCCTATACACCCTGCCCCCAGTTCCCTCATTATTAACAACTTACACTCGTAGGTGTGCTTGCAGTACTAACTGAATCAAGGTTGCTGCGTTATCATTAGCTGGAGATCATAGTTGATTAGATTCCTTTAGTTTCTACCTAGTGCCCCTTTTCTGTTCCAAGGTCCCCCTCTGAGCCCACGTGACATTTAGCCCCCGGTTGTCCTGGCGTTTCTCACATTCCTGTTTTCGATGACCTTGACAGCTCTGAGGAGCACTGCTCAGAGGTTCCTCATTGGAATTCATCCACTTTCCTTCCATCCTAAGATCGGGCTCTGGGTCTCGGCAGGAGGGCCACAGAGGTGCAGTGCTGTTTCTCAGTGTCCACGCGCACCTGCTGCCCGAGTGACTCACGACTGTGGTGTTGGTTGAAGACCGCTGAGGTCAGCCTGTGAGGTCCCTCCCCTGCAGACTGTTCTTCCCCCTCTACACTGTGCACTTGGGAAGGAAGGCGCCGTGTGCGATTGTCACCTATGGAGGGAGCCTGTGCTCCCTCGTCCAGGGCAGAGTGCCACCTGCTTGCTTGGGATTCTGCTGGAGATCCTCTCTCCACCTCCACTGATTAGTCTGTTCAGTCATGTGCTACTATCACTTTGAATCCCTGGATATTTATTTTATGCTTTGGATTATAGTCCAATACTCCTATTTATTTATTCACTTTTGCTCGAATTGCTCCAGCTTCAGCTTCTAGAACTTCTTTTCAATTAGCTCCTGTGTCCCTCTACCACCTCCTCTCATGGTGGGTCTTCTCCCCCACCACTGTCTTTTTGGTCTGTTTCTGAGACCATCTTACTTTCTGTCCTAACAGAAACTCCAGGTTGCATCTTGCTCCTGTCCTAGAAATTCTGTTTCTCCAAGGAGCCTGGTTCCTTTATTGAAGAACGTGAGTAGGTACAAGCCCTGGCTCCTAGGAGTGCTGTTGCGTCCATCTGGCTTGGACATTGTTTCTTTCCACTTCTTTGGGTATAAGTACTTGCTGTGGGTCATGCAATCAGGTTTTCATAGCTGGAATTATCCAGCGACTCTCGGTCTCTCCTAGGAAGCAGCCACCCGTGGGTCCTCTCTGCTTCCTGAGTCTCTGCAACAAGATGGACCCTTGACCTTGAAACTCTCCCTTCAAGGTCTCCTAACTTCATTTTACTAGAGTTTGATGTAAGTGATTCCATTTTTATTCTGACTACTTTCACAATACACTGGGCAGTAAGTGGAAAGAAATCAGGGTCTGCAATATCAGCACTGGCAGATGAGAATTTGAGGAGACTTCTGAGCTGACCCGCCTCGTCAATATTCCGTCAAGGTGTGGTCAGCTTTGAAGACATCGGGTGTCTTTCTTGTGACATGAAGGGTGTAAATTTAGGTTAAAAACCCAACTGCTCGTGGTTCCACCCGTGTTACTAACTTTACTGAGGCCACAGTGGCAGGAAGAAAGAGCTTCTAAGCAAAGCTAAGCTCACTCATGTGCAGGTGACAGTAGCCAGTGGCCATCTGAGCACAACTCTGTCTGGAAGCTGTGTGACTTCTTGTAACGTAATTCACACTGTTTATTAAAACCTCTTCTTAGAAGAAAGAAAATGTGTACATTTTCTTTTATTGTGATGTTTCCCCCCGATTTTGATTATGACTTGTGTTTCTTTTGTAATATTTTAATTGTGTTTTCTCTGGTTAGAGTCTCCTGAGACTGGTCCTATTCACTGGCTATACTGAAGAGGTGCCTATCAAGTTCTCCTTTTTGATTTCCATTTCGTTGACTTCTAACTTTATTCTTGAGCGAGGCGTAGATTCGCCTTTGTTTTATGTTAGTGCTCTTCCTTTTGTACCTTATGACCCGTGTGCTTCTCATTTAACTTTCATCTTTCTTGTTTTCTAATAAATCTGCTTAAGACAGTAGGTTTTCCTCTATTCGTACTGTTTGGGCCACATGCCGAGAACTTTGATTTGTTGTATTTGGGTGTTTGTTAGTTTCTAAGTGTTCTACACTTTAATTTGTATTTTCTTTTCTAACTTGTGTTATCCAGAGGAAAGTTTTTAAATGCCCAAGGTTTTAGAGTTATTAACTTCTAGTTTCTCTTATTTAATTACAATCAGGGAAAGCAGCATTTACGATTTCTGCCTCCTTCACAAGCTGAGATTTCTTTGTAGCATAACATGTGAACATATATTTTGAAATGTTCTGTGGTTTTGAGTGGAATGAGCATGTTCTGTGTGCTGGGCAACTCTGTGAACCTATTAGATTTCCACTATTCACTATGTTATTCAAATCCCTCAATGTCTTCATTTCACTCTCAGTTTCTGAAAGAATCGTGTTAAATTCTCTCACTGTTATTTTGGTTTTGCTAGTATTGCTTTGATTTTTCTCATAGTTTTTGCATTTCACAATTCTAAACATGCCGAACATTTTAACTGTTTAATTTGCTCAGTTGATTGTTTCTCTAATAAGATCAAGTATCTTTGTTCCATTTAATATCTTCCTCCTGATTTCCATCTGGGTTTGCTTTAATTTTCCACTAACCTTCTTTTTAATATTGCATTGAATTTATAATTTGTATAGAGAGGACTCACATTATAATATTAAGCATTACCCTTTAAGAATGAGAAAAATCATACAGGTTTAAGCCCTATTTCCAAATGTATTCCTAGTTGTTTCATCAATTTATTGCTATTATAAGTGGGATCTTTTCTTCCATTGTA